TCCCTTGATGGCCAGATTGCCTCCAAACTACCTCCTGGTGGTCTGGCTTCTCTGACTGGAGCTGGGGGTTCTAAGATGTTCTAAGAACATCTGGTGTGATGTCTTCATTATCCAGTGGAGGGCAGCACTGGGCTGGCTCAAGGGCCCTAGATAGAGGCCAGCCTGGAAGCCAGATACCTGGGTCACTGCAGAGGCTTTTTGGCCTCCACGTCACTTCTGTGCCTCTGTTTATTTTATTCATAGGCTGTCTCATCTGGTGACGAGAAAGAAGGGTTGAAACACCCTGGGCTAATACTGAAATATTCTACATACAAGAATCTGGCCCAGCTGGCGGCCCAGCGGGAGGATTTGGAGACAGCCATGGAGTTGTACTTGGAGGTGCGGTTTGGGCAATGCTCAGCTCCCTTGGTGTTTTGAAAGGTCCTGGGGGATGAGGTTGGGGTCTTTTTGGCCCAAAGAAAAGTTTGTAGTGATATATTACCAACCTGTAGTACCCAACAGCCTAGTCTGTGGGTCACGACAGTGAGTACAGACAAACCTTGAGAGCAGGAGCAAGGCGCAAGCTTGGATGCAGAGACCTGTGTACGAATTCTTCATCTGCTGTAAGTGATTTAACCTCTTAATGCTGCTGGGCTATACCATTAGAGTGGAAATAATAAAAAAGAGGTTAGTTATGAGAACTCAGTGAGCCGATATGCATGAAAGTAAGAACAGAGCCTGAAACCTAACATATATTAGTGACACTGAGTCCTGATAGTGCTGCTACTGTTTCTACTCTGTCCACCTAAGGTGCCAGACCGGTGTTAGTTGCTTCCTGTGCACACTCGAGTCCTCCTGCTGTCTTACCGAGCAGCTGTCTTTACCCCCTACCCCAATGAGGAAGTTGAGGCTGAGATCGCTCTGCTCATCAGTGTTAGATTAGGAGTATGAACTGAGGTTGGAGCACACAGTCTTTCTTGAATCCTACAAGACTCCTACAAAAGGAATATTTTCTTATTCCTTTTTTTTTTTTTTTTTTTGGTAGAGACAGAGTCTCACTTTATCACCCTCGGTAGAGCTTGGTGTCACAGCTCACAGCAACCTCCAACTCTGGGCTTAGGCGATTCTCTTGCCTCAGTCTCCCAAGCAGCTGGGACTACAGGCGCCCGCCACAATGCCCAGCCATTTTTTGTTGCAGTTTCGCTGGGACTTTGTCTGAACCTGCCACCTTCAGCAGATGGGGCCGGCGCCCTACCCACTGAGCCCCAGGCGCCGCCCTTGAGACAGTCTTATTCTGTTACCTGGGCTAGAGTGCCATGGCCTCAGCCTAGGACACAGCACCCTCAAACTCCTGGACTCAAGTGATTCTCCTGCCTCAGCCTCCTGAGTAGCTAACATTACAGATGCCAGCCACAAAGCCTGCTAATTTTTCTATTTTTGGTGGAGATGGGGCCTTGCCTTTTCAGGCTGATCTCAAACTCCTTAGCTCAAGCAATCCTCCCAGTTTGTCCTCCCAGAGTTCTGGGATTACAAGGTGAGCTGTGTGTATTTTCTTTTTGTTCTAGTCCTTTTACTTATTTAATATGTAAGGAAAACCATTTTTTATTCTTAAGAGATAGGGTCTTACCTTGTTGCTCAGGTTGATATACAGTGGCCTGAGGATAGCTCACTGTTACCTTGAACACTTGGACTCAAGGGATCGTGCTGCCTTGAGGGCTATAGGCCTGTGTCACCATGCCCAGTTGATTTTTAAATTTTCACTTTTTTGTGGAGACCAAGTCTTGCTATGTTGCCCAGGCTAGGCTCCAAGTCCTGTTCTCAAGCAATCCTCTTGCCTTGACCTCCCAAATTGTTGGGATTACAGGAGTGAACCATCATGCCTGGCTTTAAGTTGACAGAATATATCAAAAAAAGATTATGAGTTAAAAATTGGGCTCAGCGCCTGTAGCTCAAGCGGCTAAGGTGCCAGCCACATACACCAAAGGTGGCAAGTTCGAACCCAGCCCAGGTCCTGCCAAATAACAATGACAAATACAACCAAAAAATAGCTAGGCATTGTGACAGGTGCCTGTAGTCCCAGCTACTTGGGAGGTTGAGGCAAGAAGGCTCAACCCAGGAGTTGGAGGGCTTAAGGCTTAAGTCTAGGAGTTGGAGGTTGCTGTGAGCTGTGATGCCACGGCACTCTACCCAGGGTGACAGCTTGAGGCTCTGTCTCTAAAAAAAAATAAAAACTGGTCCATGTAACTTTTTGTATGCCATTCCTCTTGGTTTGAGAAATGTCTGATTCCAGGAAAGATGAACTGACCTTGTGAGTCAGTTATAAGATAGTCATGTTAGAGTGGCTGGGACAGTACCGTGACCCCTGTCCCCAGGGTGCCTGCCTGTTGAGAGATCTGACTGAGTGTGTGTGTGCCCTCTGCTTGTGCTGCTTCCAGGCAGTGATGCTGGACTCCACAGATGTCAACCTCTGGTATAAAATTGGACATGTGGCCCTGAGGCTCGTCCGGGTCCCTCTGGCTCGACATGCTTTTGAGGAAGGGCTGAGGTGCAATCCTGACCACTGGCCCTGCTTGGACAACCTCATCACTGTCCTGTACACCCTCAGCGATTACACAAGTGAGTCGGGCTTTGATGCTTTTTCTCATGTGTCTGTGATTTTGGGGACAGGAGGGAAGGGAGCTTGGACAAGCTGGAAGCAAAGGTTAACACTGAAGGACTTCGTGACACTTTGAGGAACAATGGACAGTGTTTACATCCTTGCTTTACTCTGCTTGTCTTTTGATTTATCAGATGCTTTGTAGTAATAAGTGACATGTTTTCTGAAAGTTTTACCCTTTGGCTATCTCATTTCATTGCTGTGCTGTTTCATTTAGTATGTTTTAGTCTGTTTGAGCTATCGCAAAAATACTATAGACTAGTTACATTAAACAACAAAAATTTATTTCTGCCAGTTGTGAAGGCCAGAGAGTCTCAAATCAAGCAATATAATAATGGGGAAAACATGAGATAGACATTTTTCACTCTAAAATGGAGAAATAGCAAAGAAGGAAGGGTTAATGAGGTCTTAAGGCTCAGGAGTAATTCCCTTTGGTCTGATGCTCTGCCCTTAGGGCCTCCTAGGGTAGCAGCTTCACTCCCCAGTTGGGGGAGGCAGCCTCACTCACCCTTTTGGTTTGACAGGGATGGAGACATCCTGGCCTATGCATGGAAGAGAGGTGGCCCCACTCTGAAGGAAGTAGCCCTGGCCCTTGCCACCCTGATGATCCTTGAATCACCTTCAGCATCCTCCCCATTTCTTGAATGATAGAGCATATTCCCAGCCTTCCTTCATCCCTCCAGTTTTTCTTTTCCCTTTAGTCCCAGATGGTGTGTTTTTGCTGGTATAATCCTATCTCTGCTTCTGGCTTCTGCTGAGGTGGCTGATTAAACTTGTGGTTTGCACCCACAGTAATCTTATTGCCAAATGGTTGGACAGCCATAACCTTAGCATTCTCTCAGAAGAAGCATTCTCAATTTGTGAAATACAGATGGATAGAGAATCTTCTAAATCTTTAAGTTTGAGTTTCTTTTTGTTTGGAAATTTCTTCTTCAATTCATTTCTCTCTTCTAGCATTTTACTGTGAGCAGTCAGAGGAAGAAGACAATGCCTTTAGCACCTTTCTTGGAAATCATCTCAGCGAGATATCTAATGTCATTGCTTACAAGTTTTACCTTCCGTAGAACACTAACACAGTTCAGCCGAGTGCTTTGCTACTTGATAGTGTGGGTTACTTTTTCTTTCCTTTTTTTTTTTTTTTTTGGTTGAGACAGAATCCCACCCTGTGCCCCTGAGCAGAGTGCAGTGGCTTGATAGCTCACTGCAACCTCAGACTCCTGGCTTATGGGCATCCTGCTGCCTCAGCCTCTGGAAGCTGCGGGGATTACAGGTGTTCACTGCAGCGCCTGGCTGCGTTTTTCCATTTTTTTCATGAGTCGGGATTTCACTTTCGCTCAGACGAGTCTCAAACTCCAGCTGTTCTCCCTCCTCAGCCTCCCACAGTGCTGGGATTACAGGCGTGAGCCACTGCGCCCAGCGGTTACTTTTTCTCTGTTGTCCAGTGACATGTTCCCTATTTTCATTTGAGAACTCAGCTGCCGTTATTCTGTGCATGCTTATTTATTCTCTAGCCAGATAGAAGCTTTCTGTACAGCTCTTTTCTTTCTAGGCCCTCATCACAGTCACCCTTAACAATCCCTTCATACCAATACTGCCTTTTTCTAGCATCCCCAAACTCTCCAAGCCTGTATCCATTACCCAGTTCTAAAGCTATTTCCACATTCTTAGGTAGTTGATACACTAGCAACACACCTCTTGGTACCAGTTTCTGTCTCCTTAGTTCAAGCTGGTATAACAAAGTACAGTGCATTGGGTGGCTTGAGTATGTTCTCACCCTTCCCACCCCCAGTGCTTGTTTTCCACAACCACTTTTTAAGCCTTTTTGATTGAGACAAAATATATACAGTAAAGTGCACGAATCTGCGGCCAGTCAGTTTGTGTCTGTGACAGCAGGTGAAGACAGAGTGTGTGCGCCGTGCCCCAGGAGGCAGGCTGCGGGGCCCTCCCACTCATTACCACCCCTGATTCCAGAGGAGAACATTTTTCTGGTGTTAACTGGCAAGGCCAGAGTTTCTGAGTGCAGTCTCTGAAATCATGAACTATTTCTTTCCCTGCCAGCGTGTCTGTACTTCGTCTGCAAAGCCTTGGAGAAGGATTGTCAGTACAGCAAAGGCCTGGTCCTCAAGGAGAAGATCTTTGAGGAGCAGCCTTGTCTCCGGAATGACTCTCTCCGGATGTTCCTCCGATGGTAAGTCCTGCCTCTACCCATGCTGTGTCTGCATTCCCTCCCTGTGTGGGGGCGGAGGTCAGGAGAGAACCTCTTTTCATTCTCAGGTCCTGACCTCTGGTGGATGGAGCCCTGCTCTAGGGCTTCATGATCTGCTGTTGCCCCTCAGCTAGTGGACTGTCCATGGTCTGCCTCGTGTCTAATCTTGGCAAGGCCTCCTCAAGCTGCCTGCTGCCCTCCTGCACCTCTGCCCTGCCAGCTCTCCTCTGAACGCTTGGGGCAGCTTGTTGCCCAGCTTCCTCTTTCCTTGTCGTCCAAGTTCAGTGTGTTAAACACGCCTCTGATCATTTGCTACCCTGCCTTGGCTCTAGGACCAAAGCCTGGTCAGTTGCATTGCCCAAGAAGTCTTTGGCAGCCTGACCTCCTAGGTCCCCCTCCTTGGCCCTGTTGTGCGCTGCTGTCTTATCTTCTCGTTATCCTGCTGCGCCCTAACCTGCTATCTCCTCACCTCTCCACCTGTTCCGCCATTGCTCCTCCTCCACATTCCAACTCCCAGACTAGCTGGCTCTCTGGTCACCCCCAGCCCTGCCAACACCTCCTGTCCTGTGGTATTCCTTGGCTCCTGGCACTCTCCTTCTAGGAGTTAGTGGTTACTCATTTCAGTTTCTGTCTCCCATGAGCTTGTGTCCCTCCTGAGAAAACTGCCTTTTTGGGGAGATAGTTGCTGAGGGAACATCTCTCCTGATATCAGGACAGAAAGTTGGAGAGTCAGGTTTCCTCAGGCAGAGCTGTGTCTGTGGGAGGGCCCCTGAGTCCTCAGCCTCCACCCTTAATGTGCTGTGGGGTCACCATGGACTCCTATAAGCTCTGCTTATCTGATAACTTCCTGTTAGTTTGGGCAGTAAGGGAGAGTTAAATTCTTCTAAAATTTTCTAATAATGGGGCCAGGTATAAGCCGCCGTGGTGGCTCATGCCTGTAATCCTAGCACTCTGGGAGGCCGAAGTCCATGGATTGTCTGAGCTCACAGGTTTGAGACCAGTCAGAGCCAGAGCAAGACCCCATCTATAAAAATAGCCAAGTATTGTGGCGGGCACCTGTAGTCCCAACTACTTGGGAGGCTGAGGCAAGAGAATTGCTTGAGCCCAAGAGTTTGAGGTTGCTGTGAGCTATGATGCCCCAGCACTCTACCAAGGGTGACAAAGTAAGACTCTGTCTCCAGAATAATTGAAGGAACGATTTTCTTATTCTGTGGCTTTTCAGATATTACTGTGATACTGTTAATATACACGAAAACTCTTTCTCCTCCCAGTTTAAATCGTCAGAGGAACAAAGAGTATTAGTCATTTGGTCATTTGTTGTGTGTGTCTATTAAGAATGCTAATTGCGGCCCTTTCCAGGCCAGGCTCCAGTGGTTATTTTATTTGTGGGAGGAATCAATACACATTAAAGGGTATTAACTTAAATGCATCCTCGTCTTGGCTCAGTTTGTAACCCTGTAATCTCTCCCTTTCTCACGGGCTGTCAGTGACATGTCCATCCATGATGTGTCTGTGAGTGCAGCTGAGGCGCAGGCTGTCGTCGACGAGGCTCTGGAGCTGCGGAGAAAGAGGCAGGCGCTGATTGTTCGGGAGAAAGAGCCGGACCTGAAGCTGGTGCAGCCCATTCCCTTCTTCACGTAGGTTGTTTGGTATCTCTGGGAATGCTGGGTCAGCTAGTGGCCCGGATGTAGGACACGGTCCTGTGCAGGAGGGAGAGACCCCAAGGCCTGCCCTGGGCTGGTAGTGTGAGGTGCATGGTGGCCAGCCAGCTGGAGGCATGCATGCACGTGTAGACTACCTAAAAAGCAGATCCTCTCACTTTCAAGTAAGTCCCTTTTTGCTATTGCCATTCTCGACTCCAGCTACCTGCTACATTCCTGTAAGGCCCCTCACAGCCTGTCATCTCTATAGGGGAGAAGAAAATTAACAGTTGCCAAGTGCTTGCCAGGAGAAAACTAGGGCTCAGAGCAACAAAATGGGGAACCCAGGGTCAGTCCCAGTCTGGCCTTTCCTGGCTGTGGAGTCCATGATTTCCCTGGGACCATGTGGGGAGCCCTGCAGGATGTCCCTCAGTGTAGCCCTTCAAGCCTGGTGATGTGTGAGAGGCCCTCCCCCTTAAGGAAGGATAAACTGGTGTTGGTGGTCCTGGGGAGGTGGGGAAGCCACTCAGGAGGGGCTGCTCTGATCTGTTGCTCTGACACATTGTGAGCTGTGGCACATGGAGTTTCCCAGGACTATCTTCACTTGAGCACCGAGATGGCCATGAAGATAGTGCTGTGCTAGGGCTCCTGTCAGGTGCCCTGCCCCTTACTTTGTCAGCTGAATTAGGGTCCCTGTCCTTTCTCCCATGCACTCCTCCACTCCAGAGCATTGGGGGTTTTAGAAGGGCTCTGGGGCTTGGTGCCCATAGCTCAGTGGCTAGGGCGCCAGCTACATATACCAGGACTGGCAGGTTCGAACCCAGCCAGGGCCTGCCAAACAACAACGACAACTGCAACAAAAAAATAGCTGGACATTGTGGTGGGCTCCTGTAGTCCCAGCTACTTGGGAGGCTGAGGCAAAAGAATTGCTTAAGCCCAAGAGTTGGAGGTTGCTGTGAGCTGTGACACCACAGCACTCTACCCAGAGTAACAGCTTGAGATTCTGTCTCAAAAAAAAAAAAAAAAAAGAAGGGCCCTGGGGTGCCTCCCTGTTACAGCAAAGGAGGAAAGAGCCTGAGGACACTGGAAGGGGTGTAGTGATGTAAAGAGCCTGAGGACACTGGAAGGGGTGTAGTGATGTGACTGGGGCAGGGCTGTGTGCTGCCAGGCGCCTGGCTGCCCGTGGTACAGGGGAGGGCCCAGTGGATGCAGAACAGGTTACGCTCAGTTGTGAAATCTAGGATTGGGTTATTAGAGGAAGAATATAGAGTCCCTCTCTGGGAGCAGAGGACCTGGGGCTTTTAAAGAAACCACTATTCTAGGGGGTCAGTCAAACTTCTTTTCTTTCTTTCTTTCTTTTTTTTTTTTTTGAGACAGAGTCTTACTCTGTCACCTGAGGTTGAGTGCTGTGACATCACAGCTCACAGCAACCTCAAACTCTTGAGCTCAAGCAATCATCTTGCCTCAGCCTCCCAAGTAGCTGTGACTACAGGTTCCTGCCACAACACCTGGGTAGATTTTCTGTTTTTAGTAGAGATGGGATCTTGCTCTTGCTCAGGCTGGTCTTGAACTCCTGAGCTCAAAAGACTTTCACCTTGGCCTCCCAGAATGCTGGTATAAGCATGAGCTACCACGCCTGCTCAGCAAAACTTTTCCTCTAAAGGACTAGCTGGTAAATACTTTATACTTTAGGCCACATATAATTTCTGTTGTATATTTTTTGTTTTGGGTTTTTTTTTTAAACAACTCTTTAAAAATGTGAAAACTGTTCTCAGCTTGTGGGCTGTATAAAACAGGTGATGGAGGAGTCTTCTGCCTCCTGGTCTCCTCAGTGACCAGTGGACATGAGCAAGGCAGGCGTTAAGAGAATGGTGTATATAAGGCATTTGACACACCCCATCTGGTGAGCAAACTCTTCCCTGTCTAAAGTAGCGCTTAACTGAGGCAGGAGAAAGATAGAAGTCTCCTCCTTGGTGGCGCCTGTGGCTCAGTGGGTAGGGTGCCGGCCCCAAATACCAAGGGTGGCAGGTTCATATCCGGCCCTGGCCAAACTGCAACCAAAAAAAGATAGCTGGGTGTTGTGGCAGGCATCTGTAGTCCCAGCTACTCAGGAGGCTGAGGCAAGAGAATCGCCTAAGCCCAGGAGTTAGAGGTTGCTATGAGATGTGATGCTATGGCACTCTACCGAGGAGGAGGGTGATAAAGTGAGACTCTGTCTCTAAAAAAAAAAATCTCCTCTTGGGAGCCTGGGAGCCTGCATTAAGAGTCTGGACTTTGCAGCACTGTCCTTTTATTCCTTTCCCAAGGCTTACTGGACCCCAACTCCATCCTTGCACTTTGAGGGGACAAGTACAGTGCTGGGGGCTCTGAATAGGGGGGTGGGGAAGGTGGGGTGCTGGAGCTGGGGTCCATGGAGATAGGGGGCTGGGCTGGGGTGAGGTCATTGTTTCTGGGCAGAGGGAGCCTGTACTAAAGCCCCATGGGATGCAGGAGTGTGATTTTATTCGAGGAACTGAAAGAAAGCTGATGTGTGTAAGGGGAGGTGTGAGGCGAGGCAGGGTGTGCAGGCTCCTTGGGGCCATGCTGAGTGTTTGATCTTTAGCTCCAGGCATGGGGAGCCATTAGGGGATGGATAGATAGATATATCATGCCGTACCACACAGCATAGGAGACAGCACATGGCACACAGCATACCAGAACCACAGACAGCACACAGTGTGATACCCCAGGCTATACGCGCAGCAAACTCAGTGTCTCATTTTGCCATCCAGCGGGGTCCTGCCCATTTTGATGATGCTGTTCCTGGCAGGCCTTGCCTTAGGACCTTGTCCTTCTAGACCATGTCCCTGCTGGAATCTGTCCCCTTCCAAAAAACCCACCTCAGATTAAGGGCAGCAGAGAAATGCTATAGGGGTTTTAAAGATTTGCCTTTATAAGGAGGAGTTTTTTTTTTTTTTTT